GTAACGTCAATACTAAGTTTGAATGAAATTGGTCCAAATATTTGGAGCTAAAATGGCCACCAGACGATCAAAGGAATGAAAAACTAATCAATGAGTATACGTCTCCAAATAAGATTTGTCTTTGTACCAACTGTCCGTGTTGATGATGTTGGACATACAGACAATCACGCAGAAGCATGGAAGGAACCCAGATTTTGTTCAACAGGGACTAATATAGCAAACCAGTGAATACATTTTTTTCATAAACTTGTTTCACCAATTGATTTCAAAATAGGTTATTTGATATTGCTGAATATGTTAAGTTTACCTCATGGTGTTTCCATAGTGATTTCCTGTGTGAGACTGTAAACAACGTGATACCTTGTTCTTTACAATAGTTGTACATGAACCCTTCCACATCCACGCTGACAGCACTAGTACACTCATCTAAGATGGCAAACTGTGGTTTGTGGTAAAAAACACGTGCCATCTAAGGGAAATAATTTACATATAAGTTACCATGGCAACTAACATTTCTCTTGTTTTGTGATGATAACAAGCAATAGTGTGCACAGCAAATGATTACAGATGTATATATTCATCTTTACGACAAAAATCAGGTTTGTTTTACTTACAGCTATTCGCTGTTTCTCTCCTCCACTGAGTACATCCATCCAATCTTGTATAGAATCCCATCCACCTTCTCTCTCTAACAAATAACTCAACTGAACCTGAAATAATGTCAAAATTTCACAATCAAAGTCTTTTATAACTCTGTATACTATTTCTATTTCTTAGTTCACTTTCAATGGAGCACAAAATACAACCAAAGACACAAATATAATAGCATATATGTATAGTGAAACTAACTGTGAATTGTACATGTACATGTTCATTGTGGGACTATCATGCATGTACACCAAGGAGACTATACTGTTTGTTGTGAGGAAAGCACTGCCACAGACAGGAGACAAGGTGATACATGACAACACACTGAACAGTATTAATAACTTGTATATTACGTACATATCCAGACTCACAGCATGATTGCAACAGACTAATTCGTTGGTTGTAGTATATTTTTGTATCTTGCGGTTGAATAATTTGTACAATGTTTCTAACTATTCATTTGTGCACTGTCTATACAGATACCTTGTCTAAGTAGTCTTCCAAGCTCTCGTCACTGAAGCCCTTACTATTCATGTCATACTTGCTGTCGGGGTATATCACCTGATCACGGAATGTACCAATCGTCATGTACGGCCTCTGTAATCAGAAAACAATATCTGATTTTATACTACCCTGCATTTTTATCGTATAAATAGAATCTGTAACACTATTTATTCACCTACGAATTGTGTGATATTTTCTGGTTAGCAAAGAAACTTCGCCAAAATATTTAAAAAAAACACCTTAAAAACTGCCGAAAAAACACCCTAGGCGATTTCTTGTTCCCATTTTATTTTTTTTCAAAACCCAAACTGCCGTTTAATGGTCGAGGGAAAATTTACGGCAGAATCCGGTACAATAATTGTACAAATCACCCAAGCATATGAATACCCGGAGTATGCCTTAAATCAAGGAATGCAGTAGTCGTTATTAGTCTTACAGCTTACCTGTGGGATGTAGAAAAGCTTTCCCTTCTCAGGTTTTGTCATTTTTCCTCCAAAAAGAGGCCATAACTGAAAATTAAACAATTATGTGCATGTTGAGTGACATATGATGCAAAAAAATGGTTAAAACTGAGTTATTCCATGATATCAACATTTCAAGTACTTTGGTATTGCAAGTAGAACACAGTTTATTCTGTGTTGCACAGGTCTCAAGATAGGAAAGACAGGAGCTTAATCCGCAATATAAAAAAATTAACTAATAGAGATGTACAATGTCTTCCGTTTCTAAATCCAATATTACCTCGCCTAGTACTCTAAAGAGTGAACTTTTACCACATCCATTAGGACCACAAACTAACACATTCATACCAGATGGAACTTCAAATGTCATATCTTTGATCAATAAATCACCATTCGGAGTTACCAAGGGAACGTGTTCAAACCTGAAAAAATAATAACAACCACAACTCAGTACAATCACACTCAGACAACACAAACATTTTTAGATTTATGTTTTGTTATTTATTCATGATAACAAAATATTTAGTTACCTCAGTGTCAGTCAATATTCAGTTTTAATGACCCTCAGTGTTGGTCAATATTCAGTTTTAATGACCCTCAGTGTCAGTCAAAATTCAGTTTAAATGACCCTCAGTGTTGGTCAAAATTCAATTTAAATGACCCTCAGTGTTGGTCAATATTCAGTTTTAATGACCCTCAGTGTTGGTCAAAATTTAGTTTTAATGACCCTCAGTGTTGGTCAATATTCAGTTTTAATGGCCCTCAGTGTTAGTCAATATTCAGTTTTAATGACCCTCAGGTTGATAATTTCCTCTTTGAGTCATTAAGATTAAATATTGGCCTCCACTTTGGTAACTATTGTACTCAACCGCATTAGCGCCCAGGGTCCTCAACTCAGAAAATCATTATTTTTTAGGGGTGACTTTTACAATGAAGTAACAAAAAATGGTCACAAAATATATGCACATTTTATTACACGAATTAACGAAATTAAAAATATTAGTCTGTTGGAACAAAATCAAAATCTTTCTGCCATGATGTATTTGCATGATTTGACCTGCAACAACGTCCTTTGATCTAATGGGTCAAGTCGGTTATTAACCAATCAGAATGCTGTATTGTACCAACGAAATTCTTTGGAAGTTACAGAAGACTTGCTGGAAATGCAATGCGGAAGTGAATTATCGATATCGAAGTACGATCTGTTGGAATTAATTTTGGCGAATAAACGACATGATTTTTTCAAAAAACTGGCTACTAGCAATTTTTGATAGGTACCAGTAAACTAAATATGGCATGAAATATTTACTACATTTTACTTTTATTAACAGGTCTTTCTTGAAGCGTAGTTCATGCACGGTTACCGTGGTCTACGCATTCACAACATATTCACGGCAGCAATATCCACACTGTATCATATAAAAACGATTACCAGTATTCGTTAAGCAATGATCAAAGATCAAGTTTAAATTAGTTGCATTTTGAAGGGGTGGGCACTTTGCCGAATGTGAACCCAAATATAAAAATTGCACAAAAGTGGGGGGTGGGCGCTTGATTATTATGAAATCTTTAGCATCTAACAGACCTGATCAGGTGATCTTGCAGTATGACCTGTCCACTACCAGGGACCAATGGCTGCCTGTCTTCTTCACTGTCAGAGTCTACTAAAATATCAAGCAATAGTCCACCATCAAAATATTGCTATTGCCAGTTTGCATAATTTTCCTCCAAAATGGCATAAATAATATGAAAAAAAAAATTTCTTTGTATTTTTTTGTTGACTGCAATGTCTATTTAACTAGCATATGTTAGCCAATCTAGCTAATTTGGCTAATTCAGCTAATCTAGCTAATCTGCAATTTTGATAATTCAAGATGTCAAGTATTCAGTGACAAGTATATTCTCACACTTTTAGTTAAATTATGATTCTTTTAATTTGTGCCTTAAGTCAAATGGTATGTAGCAATTTCCACATGCAATGATATTTGAAACTGATATCATTAAATTGGTAACATGAATACATCTCCTAAACTGACAAGAGTGTAATGAATTTTAAATACCTCGGTTTCCAGCAATGGATGACGTATTAACCATTGTTCGTTCATAGTGACCACGATTGAGGTCTTCCAACACACTCATCAAGTCTGTAACACGAGCTGTAAAACTGAAATACAGTAGAAAATAGTCTTTACATACAAAGTAGAGATGAAAATGTTGCATACAAAATGTAAAGAGGACCATTTCCATTTATGCACTATTCTCCATAGTTGGATACATTTCCTTGAAATCCAAACAATTGGAATTACAATCATTGTTGCAAATAACACATGTAGTAAGTTACAAATGAGTTTTATAACATGGTACATCCACAGAAAATTCAGAAAGTGAGTCATAAACCTACCCGGCTAGTCTCGTCATTTCTCTACCTGCCAATACGATTCTCCCTATAGCTTGAGCCATTTTAACCAACATCCGACCAGACTTATAGTAATCCTGTAAAAGACAAAATCATAATGTAATCTTCCATGATAATTATTAACATCATAACAATACTAGAAAACAATTTTAACTTTAACTTTCAAAACTTTTACTCAAAATCTGACAACTGTGTCAAGTCTGTCTGGTTGGAAAAGTTCAAATAATGGTTTGAGAAAAGTAAAGATAGCTCTGTTGTTAGCAATGCACATTTCAATTAAAGAACAGAAGATATCATTAGAAAATGAACAATATGTATAGTATCAATGCAATGGGACTTGCTGTTTTCAACAAGAATTCACAAATATTATTTTCGACCATACATGATTGTGGTTTTTAACAAGAAGAAAACATCACTTTTTACCAAAAATGACAAAAATATTCATCAAAATTAGAGAATTGAAGATATCATCATGAAATGAACAAATTTGAGAGTGGTCCACATGTAGTATCTACATATGTAATATCAAAGCAATTGGACTTGCGGTTTCTAACAAGAAGTTGAAAATATCACTTTTTACCAAAAATGATAAAAATATTCACCAAAATTAGAGAATTAAAGATATCATTACAAAATGAACAAATCTGAGAGAGGTCCACATGTAGTACCTATATATGTAATATCAAAGCAATTGGACTTGCAGTTTTTAACAAGAAGTTGAAAATATCACTTTTTACCAAAAATGACAAAAATATTCACCAAAATTAGAGAATTGAAGATATCATTACAAAATGAACAAATCTGAGAGAGATCCACATGTAGTACCTATATATGTAATATCAAAGCAATTGGACTTGCGGTTTTTAACAAGAAGTCGAAAATATCACTTTTTACCAAAAATGACAAAAATATTCACCAAAATTAGAGAATTGAAGATATGATCATGAAATGAACAAATCTATAAGAGGTCTACCCAAGGTACATATACACCAAGTATCAAAGCATTCAGGCTTGTAGTTTTCAAGAAGAAGTCGAAAATGTAAAACATTGACACGGACGACAGACGACGGACACCGGACAATCACTCATATGATAAGCTCCGCTCGACAAAGTCGACAGCGGAGCTAAAAAGTGGTCACATAGTCCCTGTCTGATTATATCAGCTGAGATTAGCCTAGTATGAATGTAATGTGGTTGAGGCAACTAACAGATAGTGATGACATAGTCCCTGTCTGATTGTAATAGCTGAGATTAGCAGAGTATGCATGTAATGTGGTTGAGGCAACTACCAGATAGTGATGACATAGTCCCTGTCTGATTGTAATAGCTGAGATTAGCAGAGTATGAATGTAATGTGGTTGAGGCAACTACCAGATAGTGATGACATAGTCCCTGTCTGATTGTAATAGCTGAGATTAGCAGAGTATGAATGTAATGAGGTTGAGGCAACTAACAGATAGTGATGACATAGTCCCTGTCTGATTGTAATAGCTGAGATTAGCAGAGTATGCATGTAATGTGGTTGAGGCAACTAACAGATAGTGATGACATAGTCCCTGTCTGATTGTAATAGCTGAGATTAGCAGAGTATGCATGTAATGTGGTTGAGACAACTAACAGATAGTGATGACATAGTCCCTGTCTGATTGTAATAGCTGTGATTAGCAGAGTATGAATGTAATGAGGTTGAGGCAACTAACAGATAGTGATGACATAGTCCCTGTCTGATTGTAATAGCTGAGATTAGCAGAGTATGAATGTAATGAGGTTGAGGCAACTAACAGATAGTGATGACATAGTCCCTGTCTGATTGTAATAGCTGAGATTAGCAGAGTATGCATGTAATGTGGTTGAGACAACTAACAGATAGTGATGACATAGTCCCTGTCTGATTGTAATAGCTGTGATTAGCAGAGTATGCATGTAATGTGGTTGAGGCAACTAACAGATAGTGATGACATAGTCCCTGTCTGATTGTAATAGCTGTGATTAGCAGAGTATGCATGTAATGTGGTTGAGACAACTAACAGATAGTGTGATGCTATAGTCCCAGTCAGATTGTAATAGTTGAGATATTAGCCAAATATGAATGTAATGTGGTTGATGCGACTAAATGACAGTGATGACATAGTCCCTGTCTGATTGTAATAGCTGAGATTAGCAGAGTATGCATGTAATGTGGTTGAGACAACTAACAGATAGTGTGATGCCATAGTCCCTGTCAGATTGTAATAGTTGAGATATTAGCCAAATATGAATGTAATGTAGTTGATGCGACTAAATGACAGTGATGACATAGTCCCTGTCTGATTATGAACTAAACCCAAATTTTTAAGATTTCACAATTTTTATGGATAAATGATCTCAGTCATATTTTCTCAGACCCTGTATGATGCCAGTATGTAACTTAACAAATCACAATCATCAGTTTCATGTGACTATGTACAGGAAATTGTGAAGATATCATGATTTAAGTGATAATTGCTTGACACAATGTGATGATTGTGATTGCTTCTTACCTCAAGAAGCTCAGTGTGAGAGCTATGCAAGTGCCTTGGATCACTGAGATTTAAAAATGGCCGACTTACAACAAGATAACCCACTACTGTAGCAATATCTGTAAAACAAGCAGGAAGTGATATCATAATATGATGCATTATGGGATTCTTACCTCCAATCGCTCATTATGAGAGCTATGTAAATGCCTTGGGTGAGTTAGGTCTAAAAATGGACGACTAACAACAAGGTAACCCATTACGAGTGCAAGGTCTGTAAAACATAAAACAATCAAGTTACAAAAGACAGCATAGCAACAGAATGAGAAACAAAAATGGACTGCATTAAAAATTATTGTGTTTTATCAATAGTTTTGACATTCATAACATTTTATTTGAAAATCTTGCCTCTGTATCTAATACCTTTTAAAAACATCCCTAAACTTGAGAATGGTATACGCCAATATATTGTTACAATGGTCAGATCATTGTAAAACAGGGGTGGCCATTATACTTACATTTGGCAACAATATTATCAACAAATCCCATATTGAACCTGAACATGACGAAATCATTGAGGTGACCGATCAGTTTAGCAAACGTCCCCCTAATGGTCTTCTTCTCTCGCTCTCCTCCTTGATAAAATGCAATCTCTTCAGAGTTGGTTATAAGACGTGAATTCACGTAGCGGAACTCCCCTTCGTAACGCTGCTCAGTAACGGTCATTTTGCCAATTGGTCTTCTTAATCTAATGACAGGAAAGATTATTTATAAATTTCTATACGGTAAGGCTTATTTGTATACATACATTAACATACGCTCACTTGTATTCGTGGTAAAGTTGGTAATACATGCCTGGTTAGTATGAGGCCGGAAAATGCCAGATAACCCATCATACTGGCTGGTCCCTGGATACCAATAGCTCCAGTTAACTCTCTTATGTAAATGACAATATCAAGTAAAGGCTGCAACAAAGGAGGTACAAGAAATATTAATAAGATTACAAGGATGAAATGTTTCATCTGCTGTGATGAAGTGTTACGTACTACTGGGGGTAGTGTTACATCTGCTCTGGTGTTATGTCTGCTATAGTGAGGTGTTACGTCTGCTGTGTGTGGTGTTACGTCTGCTAGAGTGTTACGTCTGCTAGAGTGTTACGTCTGCTATAGTGAGGTGTTACATCTGCTGTGTGTGATGTTACGTCTGCTAGAGTGTTACGTCTGTTATAGTGAGGTGTTACGTCTGCTGTGTGTGGTGTTACGTCTGCTAGAGTGTTACGTCTGCTAGAGTGTTACGTCTGCTATAGTGAGGTGTTACATCTGCTGTGTGTGGTGTTACGTCTGCTAGAGTGTTACGTCTGCTAGAGTGTTACGTCTGCTAGAGTGAGGTGTTACGTCTGTTGTGTGTCGTGTTACATCTGCTGTGGTGTTATGTCTGCTAGAGTGTTACGTCTGCTAGAGTGAGGTGTTACGTCTGCTGCGTCTAGTGTTACATCTGCTGTGGTGAAATGTTACATCTACTGAGTGTAAAGTAATGCATCTGTAGTAAAGTGTTATGATAATTGTACACTCTATAGTGTACAGACTTATTCTGTCTCTATTGTCAAGCAATATCGCAGGGTGGACATGGTGGATAACATGAGGTACACACAATAAACCATGATCCAACTGAATTTAGTGGAATATAAACTGCGCTGCTGAAATAACACAAATTTATTGTCCTGGATGGACATTAGTAGATATATTTGCTCGGAATTCTACTGCCTCAGCAGCTGTCATAGTAAAATTATGCACTATTTCACTGTATGAGCTTGTAATCATGACTTCTGTGTGATCTAGGCCCTTAATTATCCATCCTTGATTTGCTACATACTTTACTTAGATTGGAGTACAAATCCACAACGCTATTACAATATTTCTCTGTATCCTGTGTTAACAACTGATCAGCATTGGAAATTCTGTTATCAAGGTTGGTCATCTTGTAATAAGTGTTCCCCCTAATGAAAATATAAAAAGATATTAGTTTGCGATGACTCCATAGTTAAAAGAAAGTTAAAAGAAAAATGATAGCATCATCAAGAATCTCATTGATTCATCATAGAGATAACACAGCGAATACCTATATATATATTCCAGGCATATATTCTCACCTGAGATATTTATCATAAAAATGATCAGTGAGTCTCTGACGAAATCGCAACTTCAACATATTCAAGCCAAACTGAAAAGAAGAAAAAAGCAATTAACTCGTAGCCTATAACCAGGAAAGACTAATGTCACATATCTGGGAGGTATGCTAGTGTATAGTCAAGCATATTATAGCATAACACTTACCAAGTTATGCAGGTACATAGAACAATACCGGTACACTAGCATAAGTGAATTCTCGCTTCCCGAATTACTGATAGACACGATGTAATTATTTTTGTGCATAGGTAACCTATCTAGTAACAGGCGAGGGTAGGACAAAAATATGAAAAGGCAAAAGAACAATAGACAGGCAACCCTGGAAAAAGTCAGCGGCATATTTGAAACAATTTTTAAAAGACAGCTAGAAGACCTATATAATACAGCTGTGAATCGTGGATTACCAGTTAAAAAAAAAGATGATTTTTGCAGAAAAAATGAACTGAGAAAGAGATAATATGTGTGTGTTTTGCTGAATAAATATTACTGTGATATAGGTTTTTAACTCCCAAAATACCCTGAAATATGAAAATATTACGCTATAGCCAAAGATAATTTGCATGTTCGTTTTTTCTTGCTAAGCAGATACTATACAAATTTTCAATGGCTGATACAAGTTATTTGAAAGAGGATGGCACTTTTATTT